TAATGTTAGTAAACTTTAATAATTTTATTTTTTTTTTACATATTTTCAAATTCCTGCATTAATAGATTGAAACCCGTACGTAGAATATTGTTATTTAGTAGGCAATTTTAGTATCATCAAAAATAAAGTGGTTCGACTAGAGCGAGTAAAAATTTTCCCAAAAATTAAAACGTATGGGCGTGTGATATATTTCCTGACAGCTAATCTTAACAAATTAGATAATAAATACATTTAAGTTCAAGAAAAATAATACGTAGAAAGATAAAGACAATAAAATTGTTATTATTGGTAAAATCAAAAATGCGGGATTTGATACGTAGCCTGTTACAAAAAATTATAATCCGAATAAATGAAAGATGACCCGGATTCAATCCGGATAGCCCCTAAAGAATAGAATAAATGATCATCTGCATACGTAAACTTGTATCTGAAACTTAATATTCTTCAATTCAGTTACTCTGCGGGACGATGGCATCAATCGACTCTCTTGTTAAAGAATGGCTTCGCTTAGACAAGGTTGCTTATCATCAATGTTGCCTTTACTAAATGATTAAATTATATTAACAAATTCGACTATTTTTATTTTGCATTCAAAGAATCCTGTAACACGCTTAGAAATAACCAAACTTTATTCTGATGGTAATGTTGAAAAATTAGAAGAATGTCTTCGCAATAGGATATCATTTGGCACTGCAGGTAAGGTTTTAGTGGTTGAATTTTTACATGTCGAATTTAATCGTTTTTTATTATTAACATTAATAAAATAAATAGGATTGCGATCTAGTATGGAAGCTGGATTCGCGAGGATAAATGATCTCACTATAATTCAGACTTCACAGGTATTATTATGGCTTAATTTATTTATATAACTTACTCTTACTATTAACCTTTAATTATTTAAATCTTATTTTAGGGTCTTTGCATGTACCTTCTTGACACTATACAAAATGCAATTGTTAAGGGTGTTGTGATTGGGTACGATCATAGGCATAATTCAGAAAAATTTGCAAGATTAAGTGCAGCTGTGTTTTTATCAAAAGGGTTTAAAGTTTATTTTTATCGTAAGTTAGTTCATACCCCACTAGTGGTAGGTTTCTCATTAGTCTATTTAATGCGTTAGAATTTGCTTTAAATATTTGCTCATTAACTTTATTATTTTAGCCTTATGGTGTCAAGAAATTAAAAGCCGCTTGTGGGATTATGATCACTGCTTCACACGTTGGTATTTATTTATTCGTGATTTTTAAATATCTGCTATTCTAATGAAATGTACTACAACTTTATTAGAACCCTAAGCAAGATAATGGTTATAAAGTGTAGGTATTAATGGAGTTATCTGGGAACTTTTTACATTTAAAAATTTTTTATTTATTTGTATACGTTTATTTCATAAAAAAGATATTGGGAAAATGCATGCCAGGTATGCAATGATCCATTTTGATTGAATTTATATATACTGTCATTTCGCTATTTTATTATATTCATATTATATTCATGTTTACCACAATATTTAGATCATTCCACCACATGACAAAGGTGTCAGTGATGCAATTAATAATAATCTTGAACCCTGGATATGGGACCCTCATGTTGTCGATAATAGTGAATTATGTATCGATAATATAAAGGAAATTTCTGATGCTTATTTTGAAGAGCTGAAGGCATTGTCATACCACCGGTAATAACCTGCTTTATTTATATAATGTTTATATTTTATATCGAACATTAATTTTGGATTTTGTTACATTAGAGAAGATAATGCGGCATCAGATCTAAAATTTGTTTATACAGCCATGCATGGAGTTGGAACCCCAGCAGCAAAAGGAATATTTGAAACATTTGCTTTAAAATCACTTATCCTTACCAAAGAACAGACAGACCCAGATCCAGACTTTCCGACAGTAACATTTCCTAATCCCGAAGAAGGAAAAGGTAGTGATATGGAGTCACATATTAATTTATCTCATGCAAATCTCTTTAAACTTAATTTCTTGTATTAATTCAACCGTGTTACAGGAACATGGGTATGATATTAATTTCTTTCAGTTTAAAATAAAATTAATTTATAATCTATATTGGATATTATATGTTTGGTTTAGACACTTGCCATGAAAACAGCAGATGAAGCTGAGGCACATGTTATATTTGCGAATGATCCTGACGCTGATAGGTTTTCAGTTTCGGAAAAGCAAAAAAAGTTAGTCACATATCTTCATAATCTTGAATAATAGCTAACAGTTTAGTAAAACAGTAACGAATTTCTTACAATATGATAGTGGTGAATGGACAGTCTTTTCGGGAAATCAAATAGGTGTAATGCTTGCATCTGTTGTATTAAGTAATTATAAGGCTAGTGGCAAACCACTTGGTGAGCATTGAATTTTATTAATAG